GTAATTACAGTTTTTATTTAAAAGTTACACATTCTCAATAATATTCAATAATATATAATAATGGATTTGGATATCAGTAAACGTGGTTTTTTTTTAAGAATTGCAGATAAATATAGTTATTTTTTATTATCTTTGAATACAATTAATTGCAATAATTTTTATAAGTTTAAATAAGAAATCTATTTTAAAATATATTACGTATTTTAAAAACAAAATTAATTTTTAGTATAGATACCTATACAGTATACATATTATAAGAGTTTATTCAAATTATTTTAATACATTTATAAATTATTTTACTAAACTACTCGTAACTTGTATTTAATAAATTAATAAGCCAGAGTCAATGATTAAACCAGTGCCTTTTAATGACTCCAGGACTCATTTAAAAAATATTATAATTTATTATTCAAGAAATTAAGTTTATTTTATTATTAGCACGATTGACATTCAACGTTTTTAAACTGTCGAAAAATAATTGTCAAAAATAAATAAGCACATCATTACATTTATTTGAAATTCCATTTTATTGATCAATGATTATTTTATAACCACGCTCATCGCTCATAACGATATAAGATACACTTTATATATTAAATAGTCTAAATACATTATAAAATATAACAAGCCGAGTAACACAATTTGGCATACACTTGCAGTTTTTATTGATCGCTATTCTACAAAACGTATCTAAATGCTAGCCAGGCCTCGATCTGACCAATAGTGAATTATATCAGAACCACCCAGAACCAAATTGCATTCAAATAAAATATTCTAAGCTTATTATCAATCTATTACAGACGTATTACCAATCAGGTCAGATTTTTACTGGCGACAACTGATAACATTAAATACCCATACTCAGGTTTCGAGACCTCACTTTACTAAATTACGAAAAAAAAAAACATCAGATATGCACCTGAGCGCAAAGTTATTAGTGAAAACTACCTTTTTTTTATTCCATTTCAAAATCTTGGACTACCATCTGAGACTTACCTGATATAGCATTAGTTAATAGAGCAGCGTTTTTCAAACTATGAGTCTAGTGAATACAAAGTAAATTTTTTGTAGGTCACGAGTTTATGCTTTTAAACTGTATAAATTATAAACAATAAAGTATTATTAATCTCGAAAATTTCCAAAAACTGTCATATTATTCCTATTACTATTAAATAAACAAAATGTTTTTGGAACGATAGCTATTTTTGGCATGTCGTTTCACAATTATCATGATAATATGATGACCGAACATTCTCAAATTGAAAATAAACTAGTTTTTCCAATCACCATCCACCGAGTTCGACTAGAAAATTCGAACGGGGGTGGTATTATTAACGTGTTATTAAATATTATGTACTCAGGATAATAGATGATATTATGCAGTATATACAATAAATTAATATGTAATATTTATTTATTTACATTTACGAAAAAAGTTGAATAAGAGATTCAATAGAGTAGGAAAGATATATAAAATTTTTATTTTTATTTTTAAATCAATTAAAATAAGTAATCTATTAATAATTTACTAAATTAATAAACTAATAACCAATTGGTGATTGTCTAAATAATAATTTATAAAAACAATGATTAAATAATTATTAATCTATTTTAATTTTTATATAACAATAGCAGCCGTCTTGTCTAGTATTATAGAGTAGTGTGCTTAGTACATCAAGTTTAATAAGTTGAAAAAAAATTAACTTTGATTTAAATACATAAACATTAAAAAAAAGCATTTGCTGAATAATTCAAAGTAAAACATGATGATTATCATTTGAAAAAACTGTAGAAGTTTAAATCGCCACAGAACACTCTTTGAATGCTATAAAAAATCTCTGAATAAACAAAAGTATGTTTTTAAGTATATTAAAAAATTTAAAAAAATCAGCTTTTTCGTAACTGCATTAATAAAGAAAATGAAAAGGGTGAGCATACTTACTAAATTACTTTAGAATATTATGTGGTTAAGTATTTACGGTCAAAATATGGCGAGATATTAAATATTATGTATATAATGTATACATTATATCTGTAATGAATACATAAGTGGTTTTTTTTGTTGTTTAAATTTTGAAAATATGATTTGTTTTCGTTGTTCAATGTATGTGTAATCCGAGCGTAGTGGTTAATATATACATCACACTCATGCCATGACATGTATTATAATATTATATTATTTGTATACCCAAAGAAAAGGAATATTTTTTGTTTAACAATAATATTGTCTCTAACTGGTTGATTTCAATGATACCCAGAGACGTCAATAAACATATAATATATATCATACATATTATATTATTATTTACATTATGAAAGTTTACATATTTTACAGTGATTTTGTTTACTACATTATACGAAAATGCAAAGCGTATGTTATAATATGATATAGCATTGAATTAAAATGAAACGGACTTGTTTCTACTACAATAATAAAAAATAGTAATTTATAATAATAATAATGGACGTCATGGGAACCATGAGATATTGGACGTTGCGATTTTTTTCTAGTTTTTCGTGTCCCCGAGAGACTTTTTCCATTTTTTTTATTTTTATTTAGTTTCCGGGTAACTCAATCTCTGAATATACAATGCGTTTTGTCTGGGGATAGACAATCTCTAATAATTATAGTAATATACATACATTTTGATAATAATTGTGTTCTGGGTAATATAAATATATAATTATTTTTTCGATGCTAGTGTTATTATTTTACAATATACATTTTGAAGGATGATTCTTTTAAAGATAAATGTACATTTCCTCGAAAAATAATCATGTTATCAAAATATTTTTTCCTAACTTTCGAGAGAACAATTGGTTTTTCAATAAGTATATTTATTTATTTTGATATATCTCTGAATACATTTTTAACCAGAAAACTTGATCTAATCTGTATTCTTAGTTCCAAATAAGATGACCAGCGTTCGTGCGCGGTGGGCAAACGGGCCGCTCACAAATACATCGGTTAGGCAGCACGACGTGATGACCGGTTTCGCAACGCGGATGGTAGAAAGCGATCTACCCCGATACAAACCGAATGTAATTTGGTTGTTTACGCACAAGTCATCTTATTTGGAACAGAGTATAATATGGGTATCCGTTTTCTAGTATGAAAATTTATTTTATTGATACTTTTAAGGAGTTATTCTTAGATTTTTTATAACTTGACAAATGCATGAATAAAAAACTACTGTAAAATGACGATAAAAAATCAAAAACGATTTTCTCCTATTCAAATTTTATTTTAATATTTTAGTTTTAATACATTTATGAAAAGTTCAATGTATAAATAAGATAAACAAGTGTCACCGTTCTGATGTTCATTAGTTATAGAATATATCACTATTATGGGTGTGTTTAATCCGAATTCAATAATATACCTATTATTGTATAAGAAACATTTTTCTTGGATAATTTAATATTTAATCATTATAATAATATACATTTATATCATATTATATCAGTTTATATAATTATTTTGTTAAAATTTCAACTTAAAACTTCTATAAAAAAATATTGTGACTTTAAGTTTTAGATATTTTTTAATTGAGAAACAATCAACTTATGAGGAACTATATGTATTACATTTTTAAGAAAATTTTTCCAGTATTGTTAATTATAAAAAAAATAATAATTTATCATGCCTATTAATAGCTCAAAAATTATCTCGACATATTTTTAAAATGTTATCGTAAATAGAAAACGATAAAATTTAGTGAAGATTTCAAGTCTCTATATTTTTCAAGTTACACTAAAAAAACAATTGATTTTGTCAAAAATTGGATTTTCTTAAATGGTTTTGTTTTTTTTGTGATTATAAAAAAAGTACTGTGAAGTTTTAATTTTTAAATTTTTAAAGTTAGAATTATATCCAATTTTTAATCCAAAATTACCACCATTTTTGAAAATCTAAGCATTCTATTACTCTAAAAGGTGGAATAGATAAATATAAAGAAAAAAAAAATACGCATCATTGAGAAATCAATACACATCGCTCCATTCAGTATCTATAATTGAATTTTGAACTAGAAGTTAATTTAATGGATTAAAAATGTATACAAGCAGAGTAGTGTAACTGGGGTATTCTGCAAAATATTGGTCTACTAAAATATTAACTACTTCTTATAATAATATAGTAATACATTTAACTTAATAAATTCGATTTGTACACATTGAACTTTTCAAAAAAATATTATTTATTGGAATATAAAGTTAAAAATCTTTAAAAGTGTCATTAAAACTTGAGCAGAATTTATAAAAAAATATTTTTTTTCGAATATTATGAAATTAAATTTAAATTGAGATATTTTATGAATATTTACGTATATGTACTAACATATTTGTATATTATAGAAAAATAATATCTCAATATAAGGGAAATCATAAAAACTATTTATAAAGCTTTATTTTCTGGTTGAAAATTCAAAATGTGTATATTAAAGAATTAACGGCGACAACATTTGAAAAAATAAGCGATTACAGTTGTAGTGGTGTATAAGCATGATGTATGTTTGTAACATAGTTAGTGATCTTTTATGTTTGTTAAAATATATGAAAAGTAAATTTGAAGTTTATTAGAGCATGTTCGCACAAAAAGTATAGTATAAATGGTTTTTTACGGATGTCAAAATATTTAATATGTATAGTATGGTTATTATTATTATCACAACTACTACAAAACACTACTAATGTCATCCTAATGCACTAATCGTGTTCCATACCGAAAGAGAAATAATCAAACTTCAAATTGTACGCATATTATGTGTAAAAATATTGTAATTAAATCGTCTAACTATTCGTCCTGTTTTCGTTGCTTTTAAATAAAAAAATATTAATTTTAATTCATAATGATATAATATAACATTATGACTCTAACTGTGTATAGGTATAACAATAGAAATGAATAATATTATATTTGATTAGTTTTAGATTCTAAATAATAGAGTGATAACAGAGTGAATATTAATTAGTTTTATAATTATTATGTTTTTTTATAGTGTCTTTAGTCACGTTTGGGATCTAAACATTATTAAGTTTTCGACTTGGAAAGGTGAGCAGAACATTTTTTGATATTATTTTTTAAAATAAATAGAAAGAACTTACAAATATAACTACACAAAATGGGAATATTTACGTATCAAAAGTTTAAAAAAAAAAATGATTTTAGTTTTTTGTTGTTAGAATTTATAAAATAAAATGGTTAATATTTGAAATTTTTATCAAATATTTATATTTGCATTCATTACATGTGATATAATTTTTAAATGTTTTGAATCTTTTTGAGCTATTTATGGACATGTAAAATTTTTTACTTTGTTTATATAGTTAGTAAAACATTTTTCACTACTCTAGATCAAAATATTTAATATTAGTTAAATAATGTTCAAAGTCATTATCATTTATTTTTTTTTTAAATTAAATTTAGACAAAATTCAATGAAAAATAATGATTTTTTCTCTAATTATTTTAGTTATTTCACAGTAATAATCAAAATGAATTGTAGTAACTTAAACATACTAATATTAGGTACCTATATAATCAGATACTTTAAAAAAAAAAAATTTAAATATTTATTCTAATTCTAAGCTATTTATCCCAAAATCGATTCATATAAAATTGTACAATATAGGTTGCTACATCAGTATAGGTTTATAAAGATTTTTATAATATTATATTATAGTATTATAACTTACTATTATTGATGAATACAATGTGTGTGTGCGTGTGTGAGAAATCCACAGCCAAGTTTATCGTACTCATAATCTTGAACTTTGATACATAGGTAATTCAATTTTTTTTTTCATTTATTGAGGGATTTACGTAGAGTTTTGTTTGGTCTCAAAAAAACCAAAATTATTTATGTTTTATTTTTATTTTTGAATGAAACCCTATTTAACATACTACTTGTTACTCAAAAAAAAAAAAAAAAAAACGTGAACTAAAATATAACAATGATCCAGCTTAAGAAAAATACGGAATTTGCATTTGAATAATCTTATACCTAAAAATCAACCTGTAAATTCAGTAAGTTATGATTGTCTGTGGCTGTACAAAACCATTAAAAATCCCGACAATTTAAATTGGAAAGTTGAACAATAAAAAATACTTATAATAAAAAATGATATTATAAAAGCCGTGGATCAAGAGGACCAAGTGTGTCATTGATTATATTAAGAACATTATCCAAATAGTTACACAAATATAATGGATGCGCTTCCCGCGGAGTTCAACAAAAGTAGCCACTAACTATCCGCACATTGCCTTATTAACAACGCACATTACACTCGTTCTAACATAGTATGTCAGTGTAGCCTGTGCATTTAACGTCGCCGAGTTATAATAGCGTCAACTTTAGTCCAAAAAATATTGCTCAGAGCGAGTCATGTATGTCGAAACTTTTTTAGACACGAGGTTTAGCTCTGATAGACAAAGACGAATAAGATTATATAAAAAAAATAAGTTTAAAGTAATTATTTTAAAAGCAATATAAAAAAAAAAAATATCACGAACTCATTTTTGGACTAGTTTTCACTGTCAACACGGACTAGCAATCTGTTGTCATTTGACCGTAATAAAATCGTTCAACTGTAAATAAAATTATTGAGACTGATATATTGGACGGATAGAAACGAAGAATAATCTACAAAATAAGTATTAAACACCCAAAACCAATCTCGAATAAAAACTTTCTGCTTAAAGACCCCGAGTCTGGTATAGAAAATAAGCCAAACAGCCCATCTAAGAAAACAAAGTAAAACAATATAATAATATAGAAAACACCCAGTCACGTTTTCTAACTTGATTTGTATGCACAGCTGCGTATCATATAATATATAATATAATATAGATAATGTTATATAATTTCCTATAATATTGTATTGATCTACGTAATTTTATGTATTATTTGCATCTTCGAGCGGATTTAATGTGTTTTTTCTCCGCAATGCATTAGCATAAATAATAATACATTCATTATTGCCATTTAAATTTAAATTGGAAGATATAGTTTTATTACGAATTCTAACGCCAGTATTCGAATTTGAACATAAATCGGTTCAGCTGAATGTGATAACGAAGTAAGTGATAAGAACATGAAACTAGAATTTTTTCCTGTGAAGATTCGTTCATGAAATCCGGGACTGTATCAACATAATATTATACTTCTAACGATGACCAGTGGTCCCATTGAGGTTTTCGTAATCACTCATGCACCAGTTGAGTGTCTGTGTCTGCGTGTTATGTTTAATTTATTCTTCAACGAGTTTTTTAACGGAGTGTATAAAAATTATTATATATATAAATATATATTTTTTCTTACTATTTATACTTCTATGCGATGTATATAGCGTATCCTATCATCTCTGTATGTCGAATTCCAGTGATCTCTAAGTCAACCATCTTGCCATGTTTTTTACCAGTATTTATAGGTGAGATAGATTATTTAAAATGTATTTTGTATAGCGTATACGTATATTGTATAGCCAATATAACAAGATTATAATATAATTTAATCTTTTTACGGCACGTGTGTTGTACGTTTAATATAATAATATTAGTATTATCTATAAGATAAGTCGTATTCCATATGTTTATATATTATATATATATTCATCACAACATTTACGAAACTGGCGATGATTAATAATATTTAAATGGATACCTTACACTGAATTCATACACGTGATTTACGATGCATATGCGCATACTTCACTCTACCCTTGAACCCCTGTACATATTACAGTAGACATGAGTAGTTGTAATAATGTAATAATGTAACGTAAACTTAAAACTTAAATTATTGTTTATAACGCGTTAAGTTACTTTTGAGGTAAGTAATTGTATATTATATACTACTCGTGGTTTAAACTTTAAACCATACCTAATTATTTATTATCGATAGTTCATATTATTGTTCTAGTGTGATTTTAATTTCGGTTTTCGACGCAAGTATTCTTTTTTTTTAAATCATATTAAATAAATCGCACTAATTACTAGGTACTTAGAAGTATACAATATTTTATTATTAAAAATGTATTATTTATTATAATATTAATCACACACACAGTTCATGTTTAATATCTCATTATATCATGGTAACGAATTTCGTACTTACTTAATTTAATACTAGCATCGGAATGCGATTATTTTTATTATTATTATTAAATGTTATTAAATTAATGTCTGTTAAGTATCACTTTTTCATTTCTTATAACGGGATAAAAATATATATTGTATTCTACAATGCGTAATAATAAAATCAAAACTAATTCAAATATCGAAACATTTGGAAAAGGGATAATTATCTAAAATAACTATTATTTTTTTTTTTTTGAGGAGATAGGCCCCGTTATAGATTTTTAGTGTACAATTTTAGAGAAGCAGAGAAAGTAATGCTAACGCAGTTCCACTCCAATTTCAACCAAAAACGATAAATTACCTATCGATATTATTCGTGCTAGTAAAGGGCTAAACCTCCTAATCTTCTATAGCTACGACTGTGCCTATGACCTAAAATCTAAATAATAATAATAACAAAAATAACGATTGAATGAAATTATTTACAATTCTAATTTTTAATAGCACAACATAGCTTTGGTGTTTTACACTTAATTATTTTCTGCTATAGAGAATGAAAAGATTAAAAAAATACGCGATAATTTTTTCGTGATTCGTGACACATTTCACGTTATAAATTTATAAATTTGAGAAATCTCAATATTTAAGTTATAATGTTGTTAACCTTTAAAGTATTTCGTATTCATATATTATTTACTTATATGTATGTGTATTATGTATTTATAAAACGGCGATATGTACAAGAACTTGGTGGTTACCGATCAATCAAGGTATACATATTACATACTGCGTTGTTGTTCTCCCGTCGTTGTTGACTTTGATGACGTGAATTTACGATCGAATTTCCTTCTGTGGACCTTGAGGGAGACTCGAGCAAAATATTGCCGTGATTTATTTACGGTTTCGGTGTTACTTTTAAGCATACTGTATAATTACGAAAATATTTTGAATGACAATCGTAAAAAACTAACTTTATGATCAAGAAGTATAATATTAATAATTTATGATATAAAAATCGCTTCATACAGTATCCGTATTTATGGAGTTGAAGAGGGATAGAGGAAACGGAATTTGCACGTTTTTAAACAAATAAATGTACGAATCGAAGTAATTAAAAGATTTCTGAAGTACGAAAATAAAGTATTATTTGGATATACATCACATTGCTACTACGATTTTGGCTTGTTAGTTATTACATCATGACGTGTTGTCCAATGGTAAACAATAATCGGACCACGTAATACTATATAGGTAGAAACATTTGTTTACATTTTAAATTCACAAAAATCTCGATGTGTATGTATAACGTCAGTATGTAATGTTACGAACCCTTCAACATTTTTGTTCAAATTTGCTTAGAAAGTTAAATATTTAAACAAGCTAGTTTACTGTATTTGCACTAAATTTTTCTGTTGAAAAAAATGAGTCCAGGTACGTATATATTATGTTCAACAACATTACATTAAAAACCTTATTAACTCTAAATATTTGTAATAGAACAAACGACTGTTTATCATATATATCTATATAAATGTTAGATATGAAATGTACATTTTATAGGTTAGGTCAATTAAGAGGGTTTGGTGAATTGCTCATTGGTATTTCGTTTACTGCGTTACCGTAATAAAATAAGGTTAAGTTGGGTTAGGTTATAGATACAATAAAATAATAATGAAATTTATAACTATTATTTTATATTTGTAGTATTTGCACATTTCTTCAACATTATCGTTGGGAAGGATGGAGTGGTTTGTTTTCCTTTCTTTTTTTTTACCAAGCAGTTACAGTATGTCGCGGAATTGTAAAATAAGAAAACGGGAAAAATTGATATTATTACACAATAATTAATAAATTCTATGCATAATAATATACTCATAGGTAATAAATTTCAGAAGCTAAATTTAGTGATAATAACATCGGGCATGATTAAATTCTTATTACCGTAGTTATACCTGAATTTACAGATTGCAGGTA